CCATAATTATACCAACCACACACTCAGATCACAGCCTGATGAAAATACAATGGAATACAAAGAAAACCACTTGAAACCATACAATTACATACAAATTAAAAAACCTGGGCCGGGCATGGTGGCTCACGCCTGTAATCCAGCACTTTGGGAGGCAGAGGCAGGTAGATCACTTGAGGTCAGGAGTTTGAGACCAGCCTGACCAACATGGTGAAACCCCACCTCTATTAAAAACAAAAAAATTAGCCAGGCATGGTGGTGGGAGGCTGAGGCAGAGAATCATTTGAGCCTGGGAGGCAGAGGTTGCAGTGAGTCGAGATCATGCCACTGCACTCCAGCCTGGGTGACAGAGTGAGACTCTGTCTCAAAAAACAAACAAACACCTGCACCTGAATGACTTTTGGGTAAATAATAAAATTAAGGGAGAAATCAAGAAGTTCTTAGGAACAAATGAGAACAAAGTACTGCAACACAGCTGACCTAGTGTTAAGAGGGAAATTTACAGCACCAAATGTTCACATTAAAAAGTTAAAAAGATCTCAATTTAACAAACTGACATTATAAATAAAAGAATGAGAGCAGCAAGAGGAAACCAACTTCTAAACTAGCAGAGGGCAAGAAATAACCAAAATCACATCTGTACCAAAGGAAATTTAGACATGAAAAACTATACAAAAGATCAAGAAACCTAGGAGTTAAATCTTTGAAAAAATTAAAGAGTTAAATAAACCACTAGTTAGATTCATGAAGACAAGATCTAAATAAACACAATTAGAAATGACAAAAGAGGCATTACCACTGACCCCACAAAAATACAAATAACTGTTGAAGTCTGCTATGAACACCTCTATGCACACAAACTAGAAAATCTAAAAGAAATGGATCAATTCCTGAACAAATACATCCTCCCAAGACTGAGCAAACATAGAAATTGAATCCCTGAATAGACCAATAACAAGCTCCAAAACTGAATTACTAATAAATAGCCAAGCAACCGAAAAAAGACCGGGACCAGAGAGATTTACAGCTGAATTTTACCAGATGTACAAAGAAGAGCTGGTACCATTTCTCCTAAAACTATTCCAAAAAATTGAGAAGGCACTCTTCCCATCCCACTATATAAGAATAGTATCATATGATACCAAAACCTGACAGAGACATAACCAAAAAAGAAAATTTCAGGTCAATATCCTTGATGACCATTTATGCAAAAATCATCAGCAAAATACCGGGAAATTGAATCCAGCTAATCATAAAAGCTAATCCACTATGATCAAGTAGACTTTATCCCTGGCATATGAGGTTAGTTCAACATACACAAATTAATAAATGTGATTCATCACATAAACAGAAATACAGACAAAAACCACAAGATTATCTCAATAGATGCAGAAGAAGTTTTCAATAAAATTTAACATCCTTCGCATTAAAATAATTAAAGGCCCTCAACAAAGTAGGCATTGAAGGTACATACTTCAAAATAATGAGTTATCTGTGAGGAACCCACAA